TAATAAAATACTTAGCAATAAATTTAAGCAAGGATCCTTTACCTCCCTTAAATTTATTGCTAAGTATTTTATTTAAGTATTTAAGCAAGGTTCTTTTACCTCACTTAAATTTATTGCTAAGTATTTTATTTAAGCATTTAAGCAAGGATCTTTTACCTCACTTAAATTTATTGCTAAGTATTTTGTTATATTTATGCTATTGTAAATGGGGTAATTTTCTTAATTTCCTTTTCAGATAGTTAATTGTTAGTGCATAAAAACACAACTAACTTTTGTGTGTCGATATTGTATCTTGCAACTTTAATGAATTCATTTATTACTTCTAACAGGTTTTTTGGTGGAATTTTTAGAATTTTGTATATATAAGAGATCATGTCCACTCTTCAAAAGAAGACATACGTATCCAGCCAACAAGCATATGAAAAAAGCTTAATATCACTGATCATTAGAGAAATGCAAATCAAAACCACAATATGATACCATCTCACACTAGTCAGAATGGCTATGATTAAAAGTAAAAAAAAAATAGATGCAGGTGAGATTGCAGAGAAAAGGGAATGCATACGCACTGTTGGTGTGAATGTAAATTAGTTCAACCTTGTGGAAAGCAGTGTGGTGATTCCTCAAAGAGCTAAAAACAGAGCTGCCACTTGACCCAGCAATCTCATCACTGTGTATGTACCCAAAGGAATATAAATTGTTCTACCATAAAGACATACATGCACACATATGTTCACTGTAGTTGTATTCACAATAGCAAGGACATGGAATCAACATAAATGCCCATCAGTGGTAGACTGGATCAATAAAATATGGTACATGTACACCATGAAGTACTAAGCAGCTATAAAAAAGAACTAGATCATGTCCTTTGCAGGAATGTGGATGGAGCTAGAGGCTATTATTCTTAGCAAACTAACACAGGAACAGAAAACTAAATACCACATGTTCTCACTTATATTAAGTGGGAGATAAATGATTAAAACATTTGGATACAAAAAAGGGGAAACAACAGACACTGAGTCCTACTTGAGGGTAGAGGGTAAGAGGTTGGAGAGATTAGAAAAAATAACTATTAGGTACTAGGTTTAGTATTTGGGTGATGGAACAATCCATACAACAAACCCCTGTGACACGAGTTTACCTATATAGGAAACCTGCACATGTAACCCTAAACCTAAAATAAAAGATTTTAAAAAAGAGATCATGTTATCTGGGTGTGCTGGCTCATGCCTGTAGTTTCAGCACGTTGTTAGGCCAAGGCAGGTGGATCACAAGGTCAGGAGATCTAGACCACCCTGGCTAACACAGTGAAACCCCATCTCTACTGAAAAAAAAAAAAAAATTAGCCGGGTGAGGTGGCGGGTGCCTGTAGTCTCAGCCAGCTACTCGGGAGGCTGAGGCAGGAGAATGGTGTGAACCCGGGAAGCGGAGGTTGCAGTGAGCTGAGATCGTGCCACTGCACTCCAGCCTGGGCAACAGAGCGAGACTCTGTCTCAAAAAAGGAAAAAAAAAATAAGTGGTGAGAGTGGGCACCTTTGTCTTGTTCATGATCTTAGAGGAAATGCTTTCAGCTTTTCACTATTGAGTATAATGTTAACTGTAGGCTTGTTATATATGTCCTCTATTACATTGAGGTATATTCCTTCTGTATCTAATTTGTTGAGAGTTTACCAAAGCAGGATGTTGAATTTTATCAAATACTTTTTCTGTATCTATTGAGATGACCATATGATTGTTATCCTTTATTCTGTTAACATGGTGTGTCACATTTATAGGTGTTCATATGTTGAACCTTGCATCAACATATATCCACATCCATATGGAATCTGTCCGTGTCTACCCCAACTTAGAAAAGTTTTCTGCCTTTGTTTCTTAAAATAAACTTTCTGCTCTTTGTTTCTGTCTTCTTTTGAGACTTCTATAATTCACGTATTTATTTTCTTGTTTGTCTCCATATGTCTTATGCATTTTTCACTCTTTATTCTTTACTCCTTTTTTATTCTTTTTTTTTTTCTTGGTTAACTGGTGAGTTTTAAATAATTTGTCTTCAAGTTTACCGATTCTTTCTTCTGTATGATTGAGTCTGTTGAAGCTCTTTATTGAATTTTTCAATTTTGTCATTGTGTTTTTCAGCTCTAGGACTTCTATTTGGTTTTTTATGGTTTAAACTTTACATTTTATGCATTTGTTTTTCTTATTTTTTTGGTTGTCTGAGTTATCTCACATGTTATCGAGTTTCTTTAAGAAGATGGTTTTGAATTGTCAGGCAATGTATAGATCTTCATTTCCTTGGGATCACTTACTGGAGCTTTACTAGTTTCTTTTGATGGTATCTTTTTTTTTTTTTTTTTTTTTTTTTTTTTTTGTTGCCCAGGCTGGAGTACAGTGGCAGAATCTCAGCTCACTGCAACCTCCATCTCCCGGGTTCAAGCGATTCTCCCACCTCAGCCTCCCGAGTAGCTGGGATTACAAGCATGCACCACCATGCTCAGTTAATTTTTGTATTTTTAGTAGAGACGAGGTTTCACCATGTTGGCCAGGCTGGTCTCGAACTCCTGACCTCAAGTAACCTACCTGCCTCAGCCTCACAAAGTGCTGGGATGACAGGTGTGAGCCACTATGCCCAGCTGTGGCATCATGTTGGCCTGATTATTATTCATAAAGCCTTGCATTGGTGTCTCAATTTGAAGGAGCAAACACCTCTTTCAGCCTTTACAGACTGATTTTGACAGATAAAGATCTGTTGGGTCTCTGAAGGGATTGCCTCCAGGATTAGTTTAGTCACATGGCTGCTGCTGAGTATACAGTGGGGTTTGTGGTTGGTGGGCCTATTCAGGATTGGAGCAGGCATTGATCATGTCCGGTCCCTGGGCAGACTGGACTGCCTTTAAGACCTTGAGGAATAGGGCTAGCTCTGGGACAAGGGTGCACTCAGTCACTGGGTGAGTTCCTGACAGACAGGACTGACCCCAGACCGTGGTTAAAAGGGGATGAAACCAAGTCACAAGGCTGCTTTAAGGTTCACAGCTGAGACTGAGGTCTGTAGGCCTGCCTCTGGGGGCACAGATGGGCATGCCTCCTGTCAGGTTCTTGGGATGGGCAGGACTGCCTTCAGACCATGGCTGAGTGGGGCTGGAGCTGGGTCACAGGTCAACCTGTGTAGTTGTAGATTGGTAGGCCTGCCTCGCGGCGTGCGGTTGTAGATTGGTAGGCCTGCCTCGCGGCGTGCGGTTGTAGATTGGTAGGCCTGCCTCGCGGCGTGCGGTTGTAGATTGGTAGGCCTGCCTCGCGGCGTGCGGTTGTAGATTGGTAGGCCTGCCTCGCGGCGTGCGGTTGTAGATTGGTAGGCCTGCCTCGCGGCGTGCGGTTGTAGATTGGTAGGCCTGCCTCCCTGCGTGCAGATGGGCTTGTCTCTCGGTGGTCCTTGGGTGGGCAGGACTCTTCCAGGACTGTGACTGGGGAAGGATGGAGTAAACTCAGAACCATTTCAACAACTTTTGTGGGATTTTGTGGCCTAACTCAGACAAGTGTCTCCCAGCAAGTCCTTGGGAAGGCAGGACTGCTTTCAGACTCCGCTAAGGGGTTAGAGCTGACTTACAGGGCGATTTCAGAATCTGCGGTGGAACCAAGGTTGGTGGGCCTGCCTTCAGGGGGGTGCGGCCATTTCTGGATATGCAAAGGACCCCATTTGGTGAGCCTGCCGCCTGGGTGCAAACCTGCACTCTTAAAACAGCCCTTCTCAGTTGGGCTCCATCAGGGTTTCACAGCCTCCTACCAGAGTCCTGAGGTTCCCACGAAGGCACTTTGTGTGGATGGCTGCCAAATTCTTGTTGCAACAGGTGGTTAAAAGCAGGGGGTCTCCTATGCTGCCAGCTTGCTGACGTTACTTCCACTTGGTACTTTTTCCAATCTCCTTATTTTTTCTTTTTAAAAATGGAATTGTTCTATCCTTGTGGTTTCTATTTCTCCCCCTTTTCTCTTTGGTAACACAAAACACTTACTTTATAGACCATTTCAGTCTTCTCTATCTAAAGTTCGCAGGGTGCTGGCTCTGGTGCTGTTTTTTGTTTTTTGTTTTTTGTTTTTTTTTTTTGCATTTTGAAATTTTAAAGAATCTGGTAATCCCAGCTGCACTCGGGAGGCTGAGGCAGGAGAATGGCGTGAACCCGGGAGGCGGAACTTGCAGTGAGCCGAGATCACGCCACTGCACTCCAGCCTGGGCGACAGAGTGAGACTCCGTCTCAAAGAAAAAAAAAAGAAGAAAAGAATTTGAGCTCATGTCACTGAGGCCTTGTGATTTCTCTGAGGGAATCTCACTTCCTCACTGTGGACAAACCCTCCAGGTACTTTTGTATTTACTCATTATCTTTTGTCACCAGCCACTGGTTCTTCAAGAAGGAGGATTTTTTTTTTTTTTTTCCCTGCCCAGATCTCTAGGTGGCAAAAGCTTTCCTGACCCATCTGTGGCAATAGGGAGAACTCTGTCGTTTCTTTGAGGTTTGCAGGTCACCTGGGGTTCCAGTTCCAGCTCCCAGTCCTCATCCAGGTCTCTGGACACCCATCACTCCCAAGCCTCAATTCTGAGAGGGTATTTCGGTGCCTGATACACCACTCTCCCCGCTTCCCATTCATTGAAGCCTCTCACTTTCTTTTTCTTTTCAGCACATGAGGTTTTTAGCTCTTCTGTGACCTCAGATAGGTATTAACTTTGCGAAACTGACTTTTTTCCAGAATTTCGATGTGTCTCTGAGGAAAGAGGGTTATTTTAGCTGAGTCTACTATGTTGCTGTCATCTTTTCAAAGTCAACATTTCCCAGTGTTTGCTCCTGTTTCTTGTAATTCCCACATCAGGACAGTTGGTCTGATTTCCAGGCCGATGCTGCATATTTTGACGTTTCCTGTAAGTTTTTTACTGGCTCCTCTTTTGTGCTTTCTCAGATTGAGTATAAACATGGATTTGTGCTAGAAACCATGAAGGTTCCTGTTCATATTTCCAGGCCACATGAAAGAAAGAGGGAAATGTTTAGACTCACTGGTTTCGCTTTATGGGGTGGCCTCATCGGGGACGGGCTCCTGTGCACACGAGGACAGCTTGCTGGACAGTGACAGCCACCAGCTCATCCTCAGCCGTGGCATCTGTGAAGCCTGTAAGGTTTACTGCCCCTCACCCACTCTCAGGAAAGCTGTGGTGGCCTTATTGTTGGGGTCTCTCAGCCCCACCTTCCCTAGACTCTACCCCCTTCTTTGATGGCTGTGACACATGCTGTGCCACCAGCCTTCAGTGTCCATTGGAGAGATGGACGCCCAGTTATGGTCCTTCAGTGATTTCAGTAGTGCATAGGGCAGGAGGAAGGTGGACTGAGACGTGGGAGTTAGTTTTCTGTCCCAAACTCAAGGGAGCACTGCGATTATAAATGGTGTTTCTCGATGGAGGGCCTTGTCCCCAGATAAAGAACACTTAGGGTCACCTGGACAGCAGTGTGTGCACCCACGGGTGTGTCTGTCTCTGTGTGCGTGCATGTGTGTGTACTGTGGATGTATGTAATGTGTGCATGTGTGTATGGACACGTGTGCATGTCTACATGTGTGCACGTGTACAGAAGTGTGCACATGTGCATGTGTGTGCATGGGCATGTGTGCGTGAGTGCAGGTGTGTGTGCATGTGTATGGATGTGTGCTTGTGTGTGCATGCACAGGGCATTGTATGTGTCCATACCTATGTATGTGTGCATGTGTACATGTGTAAGAGTGTGCACATGTGCATTTGTGTACACACGTGTAAGAGTGTGCACATGTGCATGTGTGTGTGCACGTGTGATGGGTGTATGTGTAGAGCAGACACCCGTGCTGGCCTGCCGGGGTGCCTGCAGATGGTGTGGGATGCTGAGGCCACCCACCGCGGCTGGGCTGGGCTGCTCAAGGGAGGCTGCCTGAGGGGCTGCTCTCTGCTCATCAGTGTGGGTGGGTCAGCTTCTGGAATTTCTGTGAGGAACGGAGAGGGACTGAAAGCCAGTCCTGGCTGGAAGGGGTCTGTCCCTGAGCAACCTCTTGGGGTAGCACTGGGGTGGGCAGAACTTGGGAGCTCCCTGGTGGTCCGAGGTGTGCCTGGGCAGGCAGGGCTGAGACTGGCCAGGTGCCCCTTCCCACCCACTCCTGGCCTGGTGTCGGTTCTGCAGAGAGTGCACATCGCACCTGTGTCCTCCTTTCCCTGACAGGAAAGATGTATTTGCCTCGGTTCAAAAAGGGCTTGTGGAAGTTTTGAAGCAGCTGAGCAAAGTGGTGCCTGGAAGCCTGAGATCCTGCCGGCCGGACCAAACACGTCATCACAACTACAGCCACTGATGAGCGTCTGGCTGCTCACCTGTCCCCTAGGGGTCCCACTGAGCCCCTAGGCTGCATCCCCTGGCCCACCAGGGAGAGGACTCCACCCCACCCTGATTTCCTGGAGGAGGAACTGGGCCTCTGGACCTTGTGAAGGGGCAAGTGAGGATCGTGGCTACCAGGGACCTGGCGGCTGCAGATGCTTTGGGGGAAGTGCGTGTGCAGCCCTTGGTCCTGCCCAGAGCTGTGACCTGCTGAGCAGTGGACTTCAGCAGGGCTGGGTGAAGCTGTGGCTCCCTCCTGGGGTGCCCACCCACCCCTCTGTGCTCTCCCGCTCACAAGGGGCCTGGAGGTCCCAGTTGCCAGGGGGCCTGCAGTATTCCTGGGTCCCAGATGATGGAAGCGCAATGTTAAAAATGTTGACCAGACCAACCTGTGCTGGCTGCAATTCTCAATAAAGCAGCTGAGGGACATACCCAGGAGTGGACGCTTCTGCCAGTGCCGCCGTGCCACTTCCCAGCCTCTGGCCATGACCCCACAGGAACAGGAGTGGGGCTACAGGGCGCCCCTAGAGTTACACAGGACCCTCCACCTCGGGAGAAAGGTGGCTGGGGACAAACTGGACCACAAGGGCATCCTTGGTTCCTTCTCTCTGGCCCCTTGGGCATCTCTGAGGCCACCTGGCAGGAACCAGAACCTTCCGGGGTAGAGGATCTCTGTGCTGTGTGTGCCCAGAGCGGGGCCAAGAGGCAGGAAGAGGTAGATGGGAGGTGGGGCCTGCTGGAGGCCATCTGGGTCTCCGTGCCCTGGCCTCTTCCTTCTCCCCTGCACCAAGGAGAGGGGCAGACAGACCTGTCTGCCCGGGGCGAGGTGGAGTGCAGCTGGCAGGGGCTGCGCGCTCGCCCTGAACACGGAAGTGTGGTCCATGCCCAAGCCCCAGACGGACACACGTACGCACATCACTCACTCTCTCTTCCCCCACCCCGCCATGAGGCCTCACCCTGCTGTAGGTCTCCAGCCTTTTATTCATACAAGGACTCAAAAGAACACGTCACCCGCTGACACTGAGTGGTGGGGGGACGTTGTGGAGGAAGGACACAGCAGGCTTGGCCACTGCCCTGACCAGTGACCACTCAGGGCTGCCCCTTCCAGAGATGAGCATAGGGTGGGGTCTGAGCGCCACCCCCGGGCCATCCGTGTGCAGCAGGAGTGCTGCTGTCCTGGCACCTCGCATCACTGCGCCAGAGTCCCCAGCCCACCCTGGTAATGGCAGGGTTATTATGGGGTGGACCATGCCTGTGTTGGGGTGCTCCTGAACCCAAAACGTCTAAAGTCAGGTTCCAGAGAACAGAAGCCATGGGGCCCTGACCAGCAACCAGGGCGCTCTGTCCACTGTGCAGAACGGCGATGAAAAGCAAAGCAGCACTAAGCAGCCTCCTCAGGGTCAGTTGGTTCAGGACAGCTGCCCCCAGACCCTCCAAGTCCTCCCCTTGCAGGACCCCTTCCCAACATGATACCACCCCTCCCCAGGGCCGCCTGGCAGCTGGGGTACAGGAGGAAAGGAGGGCCCGTCCAGGCCTGGGGCAGGGTCCTGATGGCCTCAGTGAGTGACAGGAGGTCGCCAGGGTCCAAGGTGGGCCCTGCGTCTCTCCAAAGCTATCTGGAAGGAGCAAACAGCTCTCCGTGAACAAGGACAGTAAGTGTCAGTAAATGGATGCACGTTTGGAAAAGCCCTTAACTATCCAGGTCCCCATCCCCTGCAGCTGGCTGGGTCGGAAAGGGACCTAGGCGTTTCCGTCTGCGGTGCTGTGTCTCACCAGCCACCAGCACCCCTGTGTGACAGCCAAGGGTCACTGAGCCCTGGCCTGTGTCACCCTGAACAGGGAAGCCCTGGTTCCTGATCTGGGTGAGGATGGGAGCAAGTAGGTCCCGGCTGCTCCTCAGCCTTCGCGGTCTTCACGTAGCCCTGGACCCCAGCAAGGCCTGCCCTGTGAGCCCCGTGTGCAAGGGGGCAGCCCACATCAGCAGAGCCCACGCTGCCTCCCTGGGCCTCGGGCCCAGCTCCGCCTCCTCCAGCAAAAGCGCAGGTGGGTCAGTGGCCCGTCATCCGCGCGTGGAGGCTCCTCACCGCAGGTCTGTGGGAGGACAGAGTCCTCAGACTCCTCAGCACTGGTGCTTTCTCAGGCCCCACCCTGCAGACGCTGGGGCCCCTCAACGGCGCAGGGAGGTGGGGCCGGGCTCTGCAGCCTGCGCTGAGGGGAGGGTATCATGCATCATCTCAAGAGGCTCCGCTAGACCCTGGAGGGTGGACACCCAGAAAGCCCTTGTGGGGCTTCTCTGGGGGCTGAGGAGTGGGCCAGGGCTGGCTGGTGGGCTCTGCTGGGAGTCCCAGCGGAAGGAGGCGGGGAGGAAGGCACAGGCTCGCTGCGGGCTCCAGCGGGTTGCTTTGAGGCCTCCTCTGCAGGCCTCAAGGGGCTGCTTCTGCAGCGGTGCAGGGAGCTGGGGGAGGGCTGGGCAGCCGGAGGTGCCCCTGAGGTCCCTGAAATACATGGCTTGTGGGGACACTGGCTCCCAGCTGACCTGAGGACCTCATACAAAATTAAAAGGCAGAGAGGCAGGCAAGGCCAGGCCTGGGGCCAAGGCCTCTGCACCTGCCCCTGCTCACAGCTGCTGGCCCTCCCTGTCCCACCCCAGGCCTCTCCAGGCTGAGGTGAATTAAATATCGTCTGTTTTGTATTTTTGGCAAAGTCAGTCCTTGGCCTCTGTCCCTGGGGCCTTGGGGCAGTTACCGCCACCGGGGCCCGGCTACTGTAAGGGCCAGGGAGAGAAGGAAGGGCAGGAGGAAGGTGGGGGGCTGGAGGCAGCTGGCAGCCGAGGTCTTCTGCCCTTCCTGCTCCGACAGGCCTGGGAGGGCATGGGTCAAGGGCGTCCGGGAGCTGGAGCTCTTCCTGCTGGCCCCCCGGCCACAGCGATCATCCGGACAGCCATCACCGCTGCCCGAGCCGCTGCCGTCGTCACCTGGGAAGGAGAGAAGGCTCCGGCAGGCTGGTCCCCACAGGAGACCCCAGGGCAGCATCACCCTGTGAGGACCCCACATGCCAGGTGACCCCGACATCCTTTCGGTGTGGAATCCCAGGACCAGCAGCACCCGATCCCCGCTGACCCTGAGGCTGGGAGACTCACTCCCTGGGGCTGCCTCCCTTGGTCCCTGGAGCCAAAGCTGATAGACATCCTGGCCAGGCCTCCAGGGGCCGCAGAGGTACAGGGCTCAGTGACCGTGCCTGGGCAGCACAGTGTCCTGAGTCACTGTGGTGATGCTGGAGCAGAGGGCCCCTCGGGTGGGGGAACCTGGAGGGCAGTCACAGCCCTGCGGCACCCCCGCCATCCCTGGCCCCTTGCCCGCCCGGTCAGGCCCTGCTCTCACTGGCGTCCTGGAAGTCCACGTCATTGCCGTTGTAGGCGCTGCGCAGCCGGTTGGTCATGATCTTCAGCTGCATGATCTGCTGCCGGATGGTCATGTCCGGCTTCGTGATGTCCACCTCCACCTCGGGGTTGTTGATCTGGTTGGCCAAGCCGTCACCCATGACCTCAGGGAGGTACCTGGAGGAAAGGCAGGCAGAGCCCAGGTCACTGCTCCAGCCCCTGCAAAGGGCCATCACCTGAGCAGGACACCCTCCCGCCCTCCGAGCCTGAGACCCTGGGCCTGAGATGCCCAGCAGGCCTCCAGGGACCGAGCAGAACCCATGCAGGCCACAGAGAAGTGGGGCTCGAGCCCTCCAGCAAGGGACGTGGCCCTGTGCATACAGCACCCGGTCCAGGCACAGCCCAATGGAGACGGCATGGGAGGGAGGGCTGTGCCAGCCAGGCGGGCACCTACCGGCCTCTGGCCATCCCGTTCCAGCAGCGGTCATCACTGGCAGTGCTCAGGGCCATCTTCTCACTGCACAGTGTCCCTGGGAGGCTGATCCAGAAGTCCTGGACGTCACGGAGCTGGGCCTTGGCTTCGGAGACCTGCCGGGCAGCAGCCAGGCCACTGGGTTGCCAGAGCCTGCCCGCCCCCACCTGTCTGCCTCCCTCATGCCTGGTCCAGGGCAACCGGCAGGGGCCACTCACCAGCTTCTCCAGAGCGCCTGAGGGTGGCCTCTCCCGTGGGGCCAGCTTGCCCCGGCGCCGCTTCTCCTCAGGCCCAGAACCCTGGGGGTTGACCTTGGGGTTCCCGCAGCCC